TATAGGGAGTCCCGCTACTCGCACAAAGCAGTCAGTAGATAAATTTGTGCTGTTCTCTATGACAGGGAGCTGAAAATAGTAGACACTTTCCTAAGTCAGGTCAGTATTTCAATATGCATGTAAGTAGCGCCGTTACCTTCTTAACAAGAGAGGCGGATTAGAGATGCGTCTCATAAAATATTGGATAGCAGTTTGTGCTGTTCTCTATGACAGGGAGCTGAAAATAGTAGACACTTTCCTACAGCTAGTCAGTATTTCAATATGCATGTAAGTAGCGCCGTTACCTTCTTAACAAGAGAGGCGGATTAGAGATGCGTCTCATAAAATGCACAATTGGATAGCCCAAAGCAGACGTCTGAGTCAAAGATTCAACGTCAGACACCCCAAATAAACTGGCCTCTGAGATCAGCACAGCCAAAATGTATCTTTTGTCCTCACAGCTCTCTACCCCCAAACCTTATCCACTCCACCAACAGAGTCCCCTAAAATCTCGCTGCTGGTTATCTACACAAAAATCTGCCAGCAAACTCACTGTCTATTGAAAACAAGTCATACAATAGTTAAATAAATCCAACAGATCCATTAGGCGAGGGGGCTTTCAGATTCTGCACTCTGAACTATAGGCCAAAAGAACCCACTTATGTAGATCGCACATCCTCCCAAAGCGTGCGTTTTTTGTCGCCTATTTCTAACGAGCGCATTTCCAATACTTACGTTCATAGTGTGCAACCTACGAACCGCCAGATCCACACCAACGGTAGTTTGATTCTGTTGTTCATTTCACGGCAAACGGCTCGACTCCAAAGATGCAGTAGTGTGTGCACGGAAGGTGAGGGAATGAGAGCGTTACGTTGTTTCTGTGAAACAACCGTAACGCAAAAGTTCCAACCCGAAGTAGCACGAAAAACCCCTTAAACACGGCTTAACAAGCCAAACCAACAAGCGACCGCTAGGGCTCTGCACACAGATGAAAAGAAATACCAAGGACTTTCAGTAAGTGTGCCACTGGAGATGTAGGAGTCATTTTCTAGTCCGTATTTGCCGAAGCGACTAATCGGTCAGTGGGGACTAGCGTCAGCCGAACAATGACGAATAAAGACGGTCCAGCAATATCACCATAAAATGGTCGTTTGTAGCGCCTTTAAAACCAGCCAAGCCTTCTGCAACATGTTCCGTAGAGACAGTGGGTGCAGTCGACTGAGACCTCGTTTTAATTTATCTAACGCACGGCGAAATGTAGCTAGAGAAAGTCGGAAAACCACTAAGCCCAGAGGGATTGTATCCTGTCATCCTCAACGGCGGCTTTCAGCTCCTCCTCAGCTCTGATACACTGTTCGACTGAACCTTTTATCTGGAGATAATTCTCCCACGGATTGGGGCTTTTCTAGAATAAGACTAACCTAAAAAGAGTACGGGAAAACAGAACGAGAACAACCGCGATATCAGTCTGGTTGCTCTAGATCGTAGGTTCACTGAGGTCTTATCGTGCATAAACTGATCAAACTGTTAAGTGATACCGAGGCCGTGTTTTATCTGGGAGAAGATTCGTAGGCTCAACATTTTTGTCAATTACTACACCTGAAAGAAACCCCGAATCCTATATGTATACACCAACGTTTTGACTTGTTGGCTGAGGAGCGTAATGTTCTCGTTCCAACTCATTATTCAGCAGTGAACAAAAATGTAGCAGTGAGTACCACTGAGAAACGTGTACATGGTTTATAGGTGACAATAGTGCTGATGATAATAGTATAAATAATGAGAATAATAACCGCCTTTTCAATCCAAACAACCCATGTTCCAAATGAGATTTACCATGACCTGCAGGCCGGCAAGTAATACGGGTTTGCAAACGTGATGTGAGCCCAACATCAGAAAAACCTAGGAACGAACCTCGGTTCCTGGTAAAACTTGGAGCTTGGGTAAGAGATCTTCCGGTTTGGAGGACACTTCGGGGGCAGGTTGCAAGGCCAAACGTTGTTGACTCGAGGATGGCTCGGAAAGAAACTGGGTGCACGAGTACACACGACCACATTCGGGAAGAATACGACTGAGGCTGGCCGGAGAGACCAAATTCGTCAGTGCTACCCATCCTCGACGACTGATCGATTAGAGGGAGAAAACCAATTGCTCTGATTGGATAAAAGGTGTTGAGAACTGAAAATCACATGAGCGGAACTAAAAGTGGTGACATGATCTTCCTCTGATAGAACTCAAGTTGCCTACTCAACTCTAAAGAACACTTCAGAGGAAAATGTGATTTTAAGGTCGATGTTTTAAAGATTTTGGAAATCGTAGGTGCTTTTTTATCACACAACGAAAGACATAACATTGTCAGGGTTCAAGAAAGTCTGCTGCTTCCATTGAATGATACCACAGTTGGCTTAGGAAAGACAACTGCAGAAGCACATAAGTTACTCAGCGAACACACCTCTACAAAAAACATCAACAGCGCTTGAACAGAAGCTAGCTACAGCTAGCGAATAAGCTATTAAATTAGTGTCAGTTGGTTTCAAGTCAGTGAGTAAAACGAAGCAGGGAATTGATTTCGAGTGGCCATTGAGTTGAAGACGGTGCCCAACCAGTGTTGAGATCGACTGTGGATGACTCAGATCCTACTAGTCACCTTGATAATTCGTCCCAGGTCCTGAAAATATCCCGGGTTGGTCCCATTTGAGGTGTCAAACAAAACAAAACTCAAGAATTGCTACGCTTTCTTCTAGCACATTCGATCGATTGCCCGAAGCAACCCTTATTCCAGTCTTCGGTAACAATCGTAAGCCAAACTTATGGAACAAATGCCAGCCTCAATTGATCTAGGTCAACCTACGCTGAAAAGCCAATGTTTTTTGAGAATCACCAGCAGTGCGGATCTCTCAAAACGCCGGAAAGTTTCGAACCTACAACCTCCCGGCTGGTAGGTTGAATACTTAACGGTTCGACCTGGGACAGCTGATAAACGGTGTAATTAACTCGCAGTTGGGATACAGCGCCGATCATCCTTCAATCACGGGATCCAGACAATGTGCTTGAGTGGTTATTAGGTCTTCGGGTGATGACTTCTCAGATGGAGAGTTCGCTCGTGGTGTGTTATTCTTCCTTCTTTGAGAGAATACATGTTCATGAATCTTTCTGTGAAATACTACGGCTCCGTGAACCAACTGAACAAAAGTTTAGCCTAACAACACCCGAAATGGGTCCAATCTAATAAGATGCCCTACAAAAAATGTTCATCGGTGTTCCAGGAGCTTGGCAATGAGATTAAATTCCAACGTGAGTTCGACTGCCGAATCGACGCAGAATGCAGATAATGGACGAAAATACAAAAGTCACTCACTCGTCTTCAAGAGTTAGATGACTGGTTTCAATAAATCGATCAGGCGATGGGATGTGGGAAAATCTGGATATCATAGTAACTATAATCCTCGCATGTTGTTACTTTTGACAGTGACGTGCAACCAGAAAAGACTGGCCTCAACAGAGTTCGAAGTCCTAGACTAAAAAATGAATCATTCAGCTGCAACACCCTTCCGGTGCCTAGCTGCCATGCTACCTGAAGGTTGCACGAGGGCTGGGATACTGTCAGGCTGCCCAAGCCTAGACAGTGGAAGTCGAGAAGCAGAGGTCAGGTTCGAACCATGGACCTTCCGGTCAGTAAATTTGCGCTCCAACCAGTTGAGCCATCTCGCCTCCAGTCCTAGACTGCGAAAAATCCTATTTGTCGTTTCCATAGTGAGTTGAGAGGGTTGGTGTTTCGTGTATATACATCGTGCTGGACGACTCAACAACTTAACGTGATTGTGCCTCTGTGAGTAGGTGTGTGCATATGTGGTAAGCAACTGTGTTATTTTATGTTCACAAAAAACTGCGATAAGACATTAGCAGAAATATGCAGATAGTAACGGTTAAACAATTGAGGAGTCCACGATTGCACCGTGGCTGCTACCAGATGCTTCGTAGGTCGGAGCGGAAAAAAACTACCTAACAATCACGATCCGCAAGAACGCGATCAGAATAATCGGTCAGAGAAGTCACAGCGGGCAGTTTAAAAGACGGTACCTTCAAAATAATGCACCAAAGCAAAAGGTCTAGATGCGTAAGGCTTAGCAACTTACCATTCAGAGGGGTAAGGGCCTAAATACAGAGAAACCTCGTCGTAATTATCAGTCAACCGTTGCACATCCGAAGGGGTTAACGGAACGTCAACAAAGTCTACAGCGTGAAGTAGCTCAACAACGGATTTTACCTTCATCTACGGCAACCCAGCGCTTGGCAACAAAGCCCGGGTGAGTGAACCACTCCACAAAACCGGTTCGTTGACCAGACTTACAGTCTGCGTTGACGGCACTGTAATAGACAGCAGAAGGGGGTAGGGCGGATAAAAAATTACAAGATAGGAAAAGCTAGTCAGAACACGTTAACCAGACACACGAAGCACCTGCTAGCATCAGAAAAACCATTGAACCACGCTCATTTGCGGTACGCATGAAGCGTATCATATGAACGGTTGGTTTACTGAAAAACATCACCTTTCTTGTCAGAATCAAGAGGGTTACAAAAAGGCCACTTCCTAACCATGAAAGAGATAGACTTCCAAACTCAAGAGTTTATGGCAGCAACTGGGCAACCTAGTTGCTTCATGACGGGTAAATATCGGTGCCGTGACGCCTCTTTGGCAAATGGTGCGCATAAAATTCCAGTAACGTGAAAGTTAAAACGAAGACAGCGTGCAGATAGCATCAAGAGCCTGTAAGATCCCGTTGTTACTACCAGTAGACCAAAGCAACACTAGCCCTCCCCAATGAAAATGACCTCACTGAGAGAATTTTCGGGGGAAGTACTTCTTACTGCCATCCCCTTCCAGGAAGCAAACCTCCGGAACCGGAGAGAAGACATTTTCCGGTTCTTCGAAAGCCGACTTACTCCCAAGGAGGAGACATTAAAACGAACATTACTTACACCATCCATTCGGACTTCTTAGTTAACAATCATCTCTAAGTCCATAGAACGCAACCGATAGAACGCAGCTGATACACTAGTGGACTCATTTCGACCAAGCTTGACTCGACTCAAGCGATAATTAGCTTCAGGATTCGAAAAGGGTACCATGGGCTGGAATACTTTTCCGCTGAAATACCGACTGAAGAATATGATAAAGCGACGAACAATGGGTCAATATTTTTGGGGTCTCCACGATCATTAGTGCCGGACTTAGAGTAATAAGAACTCGTTTTCGATGTCTTATCTAGGTAGCAGCTAGACAGCAGTTGCTGAGAACCTAAATGAAGGGGAGCAAGCGACAATTATATATTGCATCTCGTTGCGCTGTTGTGTGTGGATAGCAAATACGCAGGACTATTGTAATTCAATTCAAGCGAAGTGAAAAATTGCATCACACTCACATTAAAGCTATCGCGAAAGGCACAGAAGCTAACGAAGGTTCGTGCTCTCGGTCAAGATAACGTGCAGAATGGTGCTTATTTTTTATCCTCCAACGAGAAAACATCTCTCTTTCGGTGCCCAATTGCCACGCCACCCGAAGGGAGCACGAGGGTTGGAATACTGCCAGGTTGGCCAAGCCCAGACAGGGCAATTCGAAAGCAGACGGGTTCGCAACACGGACCTTCCGATCAGTAAATTCGCGCTCTAACCACTAGGTCATCACACCCCCAAAACATCCCAAAGCGTCCAATTTAGCGTTGTCATGTTATTCGACGTTCTCCGGGAGTTTTTCACCGGCAAGAATACAGAATGGGGGTTTTCAACAGAGGGAGGCTGTGTGTGCGTAGTACGTGTCTTAACTCCCTGACCTGATGCGTTTTAACTGCTGTTCGTCGCCAGACTCTAACTCACACACAACCTAACGCCCGCTAAGCACAGACGAGCAGATATACATAGGCGAGTGAGGGACGAGATCGAGGAGATTAAATTTCGCAGTCAAGGGTGGGAGTGCCCTCACGGTTGTACGGTCTTCAGGCGTCAGTGAAATTCACCGCAGTAACTACAAATGACAAAAGCTGGCAACTAGTAGTTGCGCTTTACGACCTACAGTTTTACTCACAGCCACAGCGTGATTACGGTTCATACAGTTGCCAAAAAACGGAAACCTACTATAAAAAGCAACTTAACCTGAAGTTTCCGGGAGACATAAAACAGTTTCAAAGAGCGAGGCAAGATTCTGCGCTCTGGAGTCGTTAGGCGCATTCTGAAACAAGGATCACTCTTAGCCTCCCATCCACAGCAGACTGTGGAGCACTGGTCGCCGAAAAGCAGAATGTCGTGCGCACAGTCTAGATGCGTTCAGCTGTAGCACCCATCCGGTGCCTAGCTGCCATGCTACCCGAAGGAAGCACGAGGGCTAGGATACTGCCAGGTTGCCCAAGCCTAGACAGGGGAAGTCGAGTGGCGGAGGTCGGATTCGAACCACGCAGCTTCCGGTCAGTAAATCCGCGCTCTAACCAATTGGGCTATCTCGCCCCGCACAGTCTAGATACCACCTCGATTCCCAGGTTTATGGCCCCTTGGTAGCGAATTTAACGAGTGGGATAATGCAAACGCAGAATGGGAATAATCATCATCAAAATGAGTACGCCAGTGAAAAATCATGTTGCCTAACCGCAATACGATCACCAAATGAACAGAAATAGGGTAGAGCGGCAGCCTCAATGAACCTGACGGTCGTGAGAAAACCTTTGGCGGGTTCACCGTAAACTTTAAAAGAAGCGAAAATGGTGAAATTTTGATACACCATGGATGATGGATAGACTGGTTGAACATTAGTTACGACTACCGGTGCCCCATGTTTCCAGCTTTGGTGAATTCAAATGAACCTCATCCAAAGATATCATTCTACGGTGCTTTACATAGGACAGCTGCTAAATGACCGATAGCATCTCTGGTTCAACCGACAACTGATCTCTTCACCCACTAAATGTCACCTTGGGGATGGTGTGATATCAAACAGATATTAATCATGGATGGTACGGCAATGGTTAACACCTTTGCTAAGACAACATCATTCAACTGCGTGGCAATTTTACGAACAAAACTTGGGAAGCTTGGAATAAATTAGTGGGAAAATAGTGATTTGACTAAATAGAGGACTACGTAAGGAGTACGTGAGGAATGAGAACCAAAACGTCAACACTAAGTCAAATACCTGAAGTAAATGAAATGAAACCCAAGAGGTATATCCTTGATGCCACGGAAGTTTTTGCCAACTCTCCAAAACTTCATATCAATTCCAACCTCAGTGTTCTCCGGCACATCATGCAGAAGGAGAACACATGAATTCATTCCTGTTTTACAGCTGTTCAACAAAAAAGAGACTGTGCATTATGAAGTGGCATAAGAAAACTGAGGGGATAAGTGGATCAAAAGGTAGAATGTAGAAACAAACTGCAAAAATGCGACTGACGTTAGAATCAGTTTTCGTGAAAACCGTGGTTCGGACACGGTATTTAGACTGCTTGTCTAGCCTTGGGTAATCTGGCATTAGAACAGCCCTCGTACTTACACTGGCAGGCGTGACAGCTAGGCACCGAAAATGTGTTACAGCTGAACGACTGTTCATTATCATTTATTCGAAAACAGCAAATCACGGGGTCTAAAGGGCCATGCTCACTAATCCAACAATGCAAGTTGTGTTGTTGTACGGTTATGCAGCAAGGCCCCTGTAATCTGAGAATGAGTCTTCAAATATTTGTTCATGCGTATCATAGGATTGCTTATAGTGGCTAGAGCCAACGAAATGGCTATGATGTGACCATCAAACTGGTTCTCGGCGCCAAGGTACCTAATTTTATTACTCCATCCAGTGCGACAAGTCCCGTCAACTCGGTTACGTGATGTACGAGGAAACTTGTCCTTCTATAACAGTTCTATTTCTTAGAGGGGACTAAGAGTGGTACAAACCGAAATACGGACAGAAGGAATGAGGAAGTACGAGGAGTCTGGGAGTGGCAGCCTTCTCCACTGAGATCCGAGTGACCAGTTCGTAATTGGATACATAAGTTGCGGGAAATAGGGAGAAAAAGAAGCCGATGGAGTTCATCTTGTCGGTATTTATTCGAATTGTCTCACAGTCCGCAAATGTACCATTTCTGTGCAGTGGGCACTAGGACACTTCCACCGAATTTTCGTCTTCTCTACACACCCGCATCTTCACCAAATAAACTGTTTCACAGCACGGTAACACTGGTGTTTCAACAATGTAGCTGCTGCCAATGGTAATTGCAGGAACGTACCACTACGCACCCTAACAACGTACTGATGATGTCACCTCGATTTCAATCAAATCACCCAGTTCAGCGAAAAAGCTAACGACCATACAAAGAACCTATTACATTCACAAAACTCCGGAACATTCCTTGAGAAGCAAGTGTGGTAAGGAGTGCAGTTGAGTGCGAGCAACTTTGACCTTCACTGCTTGGAGTTTTGCGTTAGAGGACAGGAGGGTCTGTAATGCCAGTAGGTGTGCGGCATCGTTTTCGTCCAGCGTAAGGACGACTTTGACCTTCTGAGTCGTCGAATTGTGCAGACGGTGTTAAGCATGTTACATGCCGTCAGGAGAGCAGTTTTGGTAAGTTCGAGCAGGATGCGATCAGAGACATTGTATATTAAGACCTGATCACAGCACTATCAACGCTGACAAATCTCATGGGCAAGTGCGTCAATGAGGACTAATGCTTTTTCAAGATTTGGCGGGTTACATGATGCATCAGGAGACAGAAGGCAAGAAATTGGCTGTATGCATCGGAAGGAAGCTGGTTTGCTTTCCATTTTATGCACACGGGCTCTGAAAATAGCCAGATTTGTGTGAACCCGGGATTCCTATAATAAGGGTGAGAGAGGAGTGGGACAGGGAGGGAGACATCGGTTAGTGCTACCGAACAGTCTGAAGTGATTCACAGTGCTCTATCTACCGACTTTGAAGGTTAATGTGACTGAACACTGGGCCTTTTAGCAGCGAGGCGTTTCTTTCGACATAATGAGGGGGTGAGTGATGGTGATAACAGGTCTAACAAATGCTTAGAGAGAGACGCGAGTGGCGGCATTATTTTAGCTCATCACGTACACGCGAATCTGAGACGCTAACCACCCAGTAAACACAGTGCCACCGGTGGCTAGCTTTGCCACTGATTCCGTTGGTGAATACAAGCCAAACATAGCATTTGTTGCATAAAAACCCTGTGAAAACAAATGCAACAGGATATTCTGGATACTGGAACTCTATATACGAAGTAATTTTTGAAACCGATTTGTTTGAATGCACCACGGATTAAATATACCATGAAATTTTTGGGGTTCCACCTTTGGCCGCTTTTAGCCACCGGTGGCGCCATCGATGGCAAGCGTAACATGCCATCCCTATTTGCCACCTCTTGCCACCGGTGGCGCCACGGGTGGTGCCGCGGTGACGTGTTTACTGGGCAGATACTGGAGAACACAGCTGAATCCGTCCACAAACGTCAGCACTCCTACCAGCACACGCAGTTCAAAATAACTGAGATTTCCAGTTATACGACGGTTATATAACCGTCAAATAACCACGTTTTATGGTTAATAAGTGGTTATTTGCACCAACATAGCCGTCGAATAACCGTGTTTTCCGGTTAATGCTCCGTTAAATAACAGTCAAATAACCACGTTTTCCTGTTATTGAACGGTTGGACGGTGGTCGGACGATCAAATGGCCCTTATTAAACCATATGTCAACGGTAAATAATGGTGAAATCACCACCATATTACCGTAAATCGCTGTTATCAGACCTATTCTACTGCGTTATTACGGCTTAACACCGTATACGTAACCACGCATCAACTGATGGCTTCTTGACCACTTATTAATCGAGTTCTACGGTTAAATAATCGTGAAGGACGGTTTGCGGTTAATAACCGCAGCGTGACCGCAACGTTGCGAACTACACGGGTAACCACACGGTTAAGCGTGCATATCGTCGTATCCGATGCAGAAAATAAGACCCAGTAACGGAATCTTTACACGTCACTGTACATCGAACTTCTGCCCGTACGGGTGCTGGGATTAAGTGCCTGAAAATTATGCCCCTAGTTTGCGTGTAGGTGCTATTGTGGTTAAATATGACGGTCGCAATTTATTCTAAGGACGTAAGAATTGTTGGTTCTTGCGACCTACGGGCGAGCATCTGGAAGCAGAAAGCCGTCGTGGTAATGGTACTGGCAAGCTTCAGCAATCTGACATCTCCAGCCCAACACGGATTTCTCCCAAACCGCTC